AAAAAAAAACACAAAAAAATGAGACTACATGCCATTTGGTTGTATTTTGTTCTCTACTTTGCATTTTGCATTCTAACTTTCCCCAGTGGCCTCATTTTCCACAAACATGAAATATGCACACACACATACCCACACACAAAATACAGAGAAGATTGTAGTTCAAATTGTCTGATGACTGTTAATAAAACTTTATTATTTAAAAAAAATTCCATTCATTATTAAAACTGAGAAACATCTCAACATTTTATATGATTAGACTACAAAAGAATAATTATACCATACCCCAGGATCTTCAACAAGAGTCACAACTCTTCCAGGCTGTTTTAAAAAAGGTAAAAAAAAATATATATATTTTTTCTTAATTAAATAAAGTTTACTAAGTAACCAAACATTAGTAACTTATTGTTGACATGGAATATTTTAACTACATTTGCTCATAAAAACACTTTTTTTTAAAAGTACTTATTTTTTATGATAAAGTTTAAAGTGAGTTAAGAGAATCTACCTTATCCATACTGTCTTGGTTTTTCTAAAAGATTTTCATCAATTTGTATATATTAAGGATATTATATTCACTTAAAATGGATATATTTAAAAACATACCAGTGACTATAGCTCATCTAAAATGAAAAGCATATGGAAGCAGCAATTATAAACCAAAATTCTGGTTTTCCCCTTGGGAAAAAAGATTGTTATAGTTTTTATTAGAGAACAGAACATGACATTGCAGGGTGCTTTCCTGTAGGCAAGTGGTTTTCAAACTTTAGTGTAGATCAAAATTACTTGGAGAGCTTGATAAACACACATTGCTAGGCCACACCTCTAGAGTTTCTGATTCTCTGGGTCTGGAGCTGTCTGAAAATATGCATTTGTAATATCTTCCCAGGTGATTCCAGTGAAATTGTCTTGGGGCTTGTACTTTGAGAACCCTTGCTTCCAGAGTATACTAAGAGGTCTCAAGTGCGAGAGCGAGTGATTTACACTTCTGAGTTATGAAGTACTCTTACCTTTCTATATATGGCAGTCAGTGCTTCAAGGTGGACACCCCTTTGACAATTCATAAGTGAACTTTATATTGCCCTGCTGAGAGGTTAATATTAGAACTGGCCTATTTATATAGTTCCTCTTCTACAGGACAGTTAGATCACCTGTATTTTAGGCAATTTAATTTTTCTACTTTGGTTTTAACACAGGTCAGTTAACAGTTATATGGAAAGAAGCTTGACTTTGTGTCATCCAACTTGAGATTGAAATGAGAAACAAATTTTATTTGTTCTCTCATTTCAAAGACTGAAAAAATAATATTTTTTAATACACCGAAAGCCTTAGATTAAGTCCAGACTTGGAATATTTCATAGTTTAAGTCACAAAGGTGACTTAAGCCAATGGCTGCAAGCTTTTCTTTATAAAATTCCTACTGAATGTCCTGGCCAGCCACAGTAAAAAAAAAAAAAAAATAAATAAAAATAAAAAATTCCTGCCTAATGTGAAAGGCTTTGTGTCTACCAACATGTTGACTTCATTGGTGAGAGTGTTGAGTTGTAAGCTATAATTTTATGTACTTGTCTGCCCAGTGTCTGGCACAGTGAGCCTAAATCCTTCAGTTATTTGTGTCATCTTTGTTGCTATTTCCTTCATCTTTATCCTTCTGTATTGAGAGTGTTGAGTTGTAAGCTATAATTTTATGTACTTGTCTGCCCAGTGTCTGGCACAGTGAACCTAAATCCTTCAGTTATTTGTGTCATCTTTGTTGCTATTTCCTTCATCTTTATCCTTCTGTATCGATAGTTCACAATCCTGGAACACATGGGATTTTAGATTGTGATTTCTGATTTAATTTTAATAGCTGCATAATATTCTGTCATTGATGAACTGTAATCTAAACATTCCTGTGTTCTTGGACATTTTACAACTTGTTTACAGGTTGTTTTTACAATAGGTTTACAACTTGTTTTCTATTTAAGATAATGCTACAATGAGGATACATATATTGGTATGGGTCATGTAGACATTGCCGTATTACTTTCAAAGTGAATTAGGAGTTGTGTATTTATTGAATACCTAGTCCGTGATGTGGAGAAGATAAAACCTTGATTCTTGCTTCCAAGAGCTATAATTGTGATTCTGGAATACAAACTAACATGCGAAATAAGTAGAGAATACTCAAGGGCTAAGATGAATTGGTATTTATTAAGTGCAGTAAGAATTCTGAGTCTTAGATGGCCAGAAAGACAATTCTGGTGAAAGTGCATCATGACTCATGATTCATGAGTGAGGGCCTATAGGCTGGACTACACCAGGCCAAGTGCCTGACTCCATATAGAGATGATTCAGAAAGATGACTGTAGAAATAGTCAGATTTGAAAAGCCAAAGAGCAGAGTTGAAATTAAGGAACAATGGAAATAAGCCACTGAAGTTTGGGATAAATTGGAAATAAGGAGCTATTATAGCACTTGAGTAGCAGGTGACTGGCATGATAAAAGAATTGCTTTGGAAAGATCAGTTTGGTAAAGTGTGTAGTATGCAAGTTGGAGTGGAAGGAGGAAGGCAGAATAAGAAATGTTAGTGGTGCAGGCGATAAGTTCTGCCCTCCACCCTTCCATTACATCCAGTCCAGTCACCAATTCTTATCTGAGAGAATTCTCAGACAATTCTTGTCTCAGAAGCAGTTCTGTCTTCTGAGTATTTTTGGAATCTGGTTCTTCTTCACCCTTCAGTAGTCTCCTTAGAAATTTCCCTTCTTGCCTCTAGTTTTGCTTTCTTCCTGTTTGTTCTCTACCTGGGCCCAGAATGACTTTCTGGTTTAAAAATTGGGCCACTCACTCTCTTGCTTCAAAATTTTCAGGGTTGTGATATTTTACAGGATAAAATCAAAATTCCTTAACATGACTTAACTACAAACCTCTTGTCTTTCCACTTTCCTCTCAAGCTGTACTGAATTATTTATAACTCTTACAAATATTCATATCTTTTCATATACTGGTGCCCATGTGGAACGCCTTTTCTCCCTTTGTATTTTTGTTTGCATAGGTGTCTCCCATTTATGTAAATACTCAGTAGTAACTGTTGAAAGGAAGAGGAGGAGTAAGTGAAGTCTTGGGACTTGGGTGGTGGCAGGTGGAACAGAAAACAAGGTGTATGTAGGAGTTATCATTTTAGGGGAAAAAAAGGCAATCTTGTGACTGCTTATGGATGATACAGTCATGGACTATTGGCACTACTGATAAATTTACTTGGAAATATTTTCGAAAACTTAAGCTCTTTGTCCCTAAAATAGATGTTATTTAGAAACAATGTAAATAAGACGTTACACTTAAATGCTTTTTTTTGTTTGTTTTTGGTCATTGAAATGGAAGAAGGGGTCTTTCAAGCTGAATGGGTTTGGAAGATGGTGTGATGATGACTAATGAATAATGTTTCTGATCTAGAAAAGCTAGGAATTAAGTAAATGTTCATGATTGTTTCATATTAAAATGTTTTCCTTTTTTGAAATTGTAACATATTCTAAATCCTTATTTTGGTGAGAAACTGCCAGTTGTGATATATAAATGAGATGCTTAATTAAACTTGGTAAGAAATTAAAGTTCAAGGAAGCTTTTTAGAAAGTAAGCATAACTTAATAACACAAGTAGGTTCAGTATTTTTCCTGCAGATGTCACATTGCACTATGTGGAAATGTGCCTAACATTTACTTAATAATATCACATTTTGTATATCAATGATGAGGCATTTCTGATGACTAATTTTCTAGGAGCATATGCTGCTGTTAAAAAAACAGTCTTAAATAGTATCTAAGTCATTCTTCTAATCTGCTGGATATTTCTGTAGGCTTTCGTGTTCTTGTTTGTCAGTTAACATTTATATAAGGCTGGTAATCCATTTTAATAAAAAATGTGAAGTAAAATTATGATCTTTTGTTTTTAAACGGAACAGTATACTTAAAAAATGCTTAGTACTGTACTTAGATTTTTCTTTAATTTGCTAGGATGGGTTTTCTTTATTTTTAGGATGGATTCTTTAAATAAAAGTAGCTGCAAAATTGCCAATGCAATTTTTACCCCCTTTCCCCCCCTATATTTTAGTAAATTTAAGTACAAAGAGAATACTGGATTTTATAGCACTCTCCTCCTTTTAAGAATCATGGACTGTTGTACCGACTAGACAATTTCTTATCATTAGTTTGTTCTGACAGTATATATATCTTGACATGCTGTGTAACAAACATTATACATTTTGGTTGAGACAAGAATAGTAAAATATGCTATAATAAGCACATACATATTTAATACTTGGTCATTAAAATTGGAGCCTGGGTTAAGGCTTTTCTCTTCAGAATGGCAGTTTTAGGTTTTCATATCGAACCAGGCAACTCAAAAGGCATTTTAGTTAGCTTAGTTCTTTAATGTCTTTAATATTGTTTTATAACATTCTTGGACATGCTTTGGGCACTATATTTCTGTTGGCCTATAAATGTGCATTTGCCTTAAGCAACTCCCCCTTTTTAAAGTCATTCTGTCCAGCATCCCAATAGGCCAGTATGGTCTACCTTTAAAGCCAAATTCTTAATTGACTAACTCTAGATGAGGGAGAATGGCTTCTAACTCAGGTTCTTTTCATGATTTTAATCCTATGTTTCTTTTAGGAGCAGGCACAAACTACTTTAGATCCTTGATCTCTTCCCCTTTCCATGACTGCAGGTATTTCTTGGGAATTAACCCTAAACTCTTCTTAAGTCTGATTTCTAGCATTTTAGACATTGTGCTTTTGGGCCAATAGTAATTTCTTTTTAAAAAATATTAATCAAGCTCACATAAATCCTCAGACTGTTTTAGCGAACATGTAAGCAATAAAAAATTTTGTATTCTTCCAGCAGTTAGGAGTTTAACCAAAACAAATATCCAGATTATCAGTTACCCCAAGCTTAGTTTTCTTTATGGATCAGTTGTTGCGTAAGCTGTGAACTGCTACTAATTCTCTGTACATACATATTGAGACGAACGTCTTTGTATGAGTGACTGAAAAATGGATCAAATAATAACTTACATTCTACATTGATAATTGAGGAGAACCATCGAGGAACTAACATTAAAATAATGCTGCATGTACTAATGTGTTTGGTACTGTGTCATATAACAAACATGGAACTTCATTTAACTTCGCTGGTACCTGACAACCAAAATGATCAAAGTGAGCTCCTTAATAACCGCAGATAAATTTGGAAACTAGTTTTTCTGTGATCTTAGGTGTCATAAAATAAAACTTTTGGAAAGATATAAAGACCCTAGAAATTACATGCACGTTTAAACTCAAACCAATAAAAGTCTGCCAGAATGCAGAGACGCCAACAAATTTAATTGTAAAAAGCTGAATTTGCAAGTTGGTTTTAATGTTTCAACTCTGTGGTGACAAGAAAATTTATCTTCCCGCCAGTGGAGTTTTTGGTTTTGTTTTTTTCTTTTTGGCAAAGGTTGCCAGAGAGAGGGGGGCCCCCTCCCAGCACGTCAGCCTTGTGGGAGCTTGTGTCCTCACTTGCCTCAAGAAACTAACCACCAGCATACTAAGTGGCTTCAGAAGGAGTGCCTTGGTTTGGAAAGAGGTGGCCAAGGAAGAAGCACAGATATAACAGCGTTAATTTGTGGGAGCTTGTGTCCTCACTTGCCTCAAGAAACTAACCACCAGCATACTAAGTGGCTTCGGAAGGAGTGCCTTGGTTTGGAAAGAGGTGGCCAAGGAAGAAGCACAGATATAACAGCGTTAATCCCAACCCATGTGCTTGGCCCCCAGGGAGCGCTGGGGTGTGGGTCCCCCGCAGCTGGGTCGGGAGTTGGGGAGCGGGGCTCCGGTGGCAGTAAGGACGGGGAACTGGCTGGCTCCTCACCTTGCCGGGGACCCCGCGGTGGTCCGTGCTGCCCTGCCAGAAGCGCCTGCTGTAGTCTGTGATGTATCCGACTAGCTTGTCCTGATAGGGGAAGTCCACCTTCCAGATCAGGGACCCGTAACCAAAAACCCACATCTTCCTCCCGCTCCTCCGCAGCGGCGGCGGCCGACCTTCGGCAGCGGTCTCTGCGGTGCCGCGGGGAACTACAGCCTCAGACACTGGTAACCGGCTGTGCCGGGCGCGCAGGCGCGATGGCCGCACCGCTGCTGGGGCGCAGAGCACACTGGGATTGTAGTTCGAGGGACGTTTTCCGACTCTGTCTCAGCATTATTTCCCGGCTTAGAGGGTCAAGAGGCGTTGACGTTCTTCTGCACGCTAAGCAGTGGTGGATTCTTTTGCAACTTCCGTAAATCGCCCCAACCTTCTTCTAGTGCACGTGCGCAGAGGACTACAAGACCCACTGCGCTTTTCGGAGATTTGTGGCTCTGAATTTGGAACTGTGTTTTTCTTTCTAATAGGGAAGGGGAAGGAGAAGAGAAAGGGCAGGAGTCGAGACAGGTGTCGTCCACGTACGGAGAAGATGTGCTGGCACCGCAGTTGGTTTCTAAGACATTTTTTTCTGCTTTGAAAATTGGGTTTCTGCTCGTATAACCAGAGGCCAGAGGAGCGCAAGCCGGGAATGTAATCCATATTTGACTTTATGTACTTTCCCCCCACATCTTCTGTCTTTTTGCCTTTCAAATAAAAGCAGAAGGTTTGCAATAGAAGTCTTATACCTGTGAAAGGGCAGTCATTATTTCAATTGAGGTTGTTTACGTATTTAAATTTTACAAAAGAAACAACTTGCTTATCTTTAATGTCCTCAGTAGTAGCTTACTCAGAAAAGAGCAGGCAAAGGTTCTGAACTTGGGACTCATATCCAGGCTTTGTAAACGAGCTGGAAAACTTACTGAAATTGTGTAGAAAATTTGTGCATTCATGAGTTTCTCCAAGGGGTTAAGGATCCTAAAAGCTTTAGAAAGCTCTGTTGGACCATCATGGCAGTGTCTGTGTATGTGAAAACAGAAGACATACCAAATGATTGTTTTTTCTTGAGGATTTATAACTATTTCATGGTCTTTCGCTTTATAGGAGAAGAAATGTTAAAACACCCAGGTTCAAAGAGTATTGTTTGTGCTCTTAAAAAGAAATCAGGAGGAAGTTGCTACAAAGAAAAACTTAGTTTAAGAATAACCAGGTTTTTTTCAAGTTGTAGTTTCACATTACCGAACACATATTTCTCCTTTTTCCTTATTTTATGTTTTAAACAAGTTTCTTAACAATGTTTACGGTTAGCACCACCCCC